CTATCTCATTTTAATATTATTTGTATTAAACTGTGTGTTAATAAAGAAGTTAAGAAAAATATTTTTGTTTTATAAATAAGTAAAGAGGGATATAATATTGTTTTGATATAATTTTTATATAAAAAAATCACACAAATAAAAAACCTGTATCATATAAAACGAGAGTACTTAATAAATTATTAACAAAATAATATTTGCTATATTAAATTTTTGAAAAGAATATTAGGGCATCTCCAATGGAAGCAACTCATTTGAGTTGCTTCATGCATTGAAAAATGAAAAAAGTGGTCCTAAGTGTGCCATGTCAGTATTAAGCAACTCAAACACAAATTTACTCCAATGGTAAGAAACTTTAAGAAATTCAACTTTTAGAATTTTTTTTTCTAATCATTTATGAACCAATTTTAAATTTTTATTAAAAAGGGTAATTGCACTACAATGAAAGAAAATAAATTACGAGAAAAAATATACAATAAGTAGATATTAAAAACAAAATAAAATAATAATAAATGCATAAATATTATATGAAATTAATTTTCATCATTATTATTTCCAAAACGTTCCCAAATATGTTTAATAAGATTTACTTGAAATCTGGTAAGGAACGGTTGCTTGAGGAAGCAACTCTCTCTCTTCTTCAAGCAATTCAATTCATGTTGCCACGTCAGAGTCCTCCAATGGTAAGAAACCAGGACTTGAGTTGCTTCATGGGACAAGCAACTCCCATTAGAGTTGCTCTTAGTTTCTTCTTTATGTAACCCAAAGTATTTAATGATATATCAAATTCTCTAAACTAGTACTTTCTCTAAACGAATATATCTCTAGTGAGAATATTTACGATTGTTCTGTGTGGAATCAATCATACATATGAAATGAACTCATTACACAAACAAAAATCTTATTCTATGAAAACACACTAAAAGCTAAACACCTACAAAGCACTAGCTTCGATGGCAGTATCAAACTAGGCGAGTTCAATAGCAAGTTGATTACCGTCAACTAAACAGTTGTAGAAGCGCGTATTTAATTTGTTATTGAAACACTAATCTACAGCCATAAAGTTTGTGATAATTGTCATGTGACTGGTCAATTTTGGGGGGCCGGCAGTGAAATGTACAAGGAAAAAGATATTAAGATAACCTAGTAAATTTCTAGAAACCGAATCTGATACTCTTGTCTTGCAAGTTGAAATACTTATTACATGTTTGGGTAAAAAAGAAAAAAAAAAATTTAATAAATGCAATAGAAGGGAAAAGAAAAAAAGAATCCTTAATTGATTTGATTGAAGAGGTTATAGAAGAGAACAATAACAACTTGTTAAGTTTGCAAACGCAGAAGGGGGAAAATATTTAATGGAGATCAGATAGAATATAAAATATTATTTAAGACAATTTAATCGATATAGTCTAAAAATAATAAATTAATATCACTCTTTCAAATCCCCTCGATATTGAAAAAAAAAAATTAAATGAGAGAAACTTAAGCCTCTTCAATTTCTTATTCTCCAAGTTTTTGAACTAAACCAAGATAAAATTAAAAAATAATAAAAAAGATTATTTCCCTCTATTTTAGCTAAACTCACTATAAATAGAGATTGTTATAGAACCAGGTAACATGGATTCGGACATAATACAAACACGAATACGATGATACGATAAAATAAAAAAATATAAGATACGAGGACACGATATATATAATATAAATAACATGTCAAAAATATTATATTAATATAATAATAACTTACTAGGTCTCAAAAAAATTATTAAGGGACATCATATTCATAATTTTCTTTTTAAATCTCAGATCTTCCTTTCATTATTTTTATTTTTATTAAAAAAAATTATTTTTTATTAGTGAAAGTTAAGTAAGGAGAGATAAAATAATTTTCTTCATTATTTATATTTTTATCAAAAAAATTTATTTCTTTTTTAAAAAAGCTCAAATCTTTTTTTTATTATTTATTTATATTTTTATCAAGATTCTTTTTTTTTTAAATCTAAAATTCTCCCTTTTTTATTTTATGCTTTTATTGAGATATATATATATATATATATTTTTTTTTAAATCTCAAATCATTTCTTTTTTGTTTCTATTTTTATTGAGATTTATTCTTTTTTAAAAAAATTGAAATTCACGTATTGAATAGTACATTAAGATGGAGACGTATTCATTTGCAGGTGTCCATGCGATGAAGACACATTAGTTTTGTAGGTGTCTGCAATGAAGATATGTCAATTTCGTAGATGTCTACAATACGTCAATTTTGTAAATGTGTATAATGGAGACGTGTCTAATTTGTGTAGACATGATTTGTCGAAGTGTCCGAAGTGCGTCCATGGTATATCCGCTCTATAAGAGTGTCAGACTTAGAGACACAACAATCTCATGCCGTGTCCATGCAACATAGGCATTGAACACAGGCATGGACTATATATTTGGAGGAGCTCAAGACATAATGGAAGGTGTAATTATCTTCTTCTTTTTTTTACAAAAGAATAAAGAACATTGGTCATGTTCCATGAATTCCAGTTCTAATGCAAAGGGTAGGGATGAGAATAAGTCGAACCTTAAACAAAGTCTATAACTTGACCCTTTTAAAATTTGACCTAGTTTATTTAATAAAAAAGACTAAATTTAAACTTTTAAAAAAAATATTTGTATAAAAAAACTACACTTAGATTATAAAAGTCTATTAGACATGATAGATTAACCTATTTATTTTTATAATATAATAAAAAAATAATATATATATATATAATTTAAAATGTAAATAAATTTATTTATTTAAAAAATATCAATATTTAAAATATTCTTTTATATAATTGTCTTTTTTTTATTATAAATCTATAAACTTACGATTTGTACTACATCAATATATATAACTAAGCATGAATTGTCCAAAAGATGATTTATTTTTTTCTCTCATATTTCATTTAAAATTTAAATTTTACTAATATTGAATAAACTTTAATTTAAAAATAAAGTCATTTATATAATATAATAAAATAACTAATATACATATATTATTAAAAATATAAATAAATAAATTTATAAAATAAATACAAATTATCAATATTTAAAATATTTTTTATATAATTAATTTTTTCATAAGTTTATAAATTTACAATATGTACATAAATATATGTCAACATACATAATTACACTTAAATTATTCCTTCAATAGAAAATAATTTTCTTTTTCCCCTATATTTCATTTAAAATGTAAATCTTAATAATATTAAATAAACTATATTTTAAAAATAAATTTATTAATTTTTAAAAAATTAAATTTATTGATCTAAGTAACATCGTTAATGTAAATAAATTAATAAGTCAGACAAGATTTTATAAAGGCCAAGTTAGTCTTACAAAAAAAAAACAATAAATAATAAACTTTAACTTTATAAAACAGACTCAGTCTATATATTTAAAAATATAGTCTAATATTGCATATTTCCATTCCTACCAAGGGTAATGATGCATGCAACGTGAAGAATTTAGAAAACTTAACCAATATTTGCACCAATGATCATAACTAAACAAATCAATTGGATTTTTCTTTCATAAAATCCCCCTTCTATTTCTCCTCCTTCCATTTCCACCTTAACAAACAGACAGTTAGGGTGATGGAATGGTAGCCATAGACCAGGGTCAGGAAGGCAGCCAATAAAATAATATAATTTCCAAAGCCAATAATAATTGTTGCACATTCAAAGTCACAAATCTGTGTGCGATCGGAGTAGGCATCTCATTCACTAAACTCGACCACAATTGATATTATGACATTGGCAGTAGAGATCACAAAGGATCGACAACAATGAACGCAAAGCATGCTCGACATTTTAAGCAGAGGATTCAGAGAAGTTGGTAACAATTAAAAATCCGTAGGTCGCACCCACTAATCCTGCAACTCACGAAAATATATGTTGAAGTTCCTAAATATAATGATCTGTGGCTCTCCCTCCCAGGTATACGACATTTTGATTTATACACTCAAAGCCTACTCTACTAAGAAGGATGCAGTAATCTAGTTCTTCCATACTTTTAGAAGAGCTCCATTAATTGCTGTGATACATCTGCATCAATGTGAGAACCAATATTAATAACCAATAAAGGAAGATTCAAAATACATGTCAAACTTAATAAACTACAATGGACTTATCTATTGCTATTGAACCAATAACTACAGAACAGAACTATACATCCAGCAATGTTACTTGATAATTATAATGGGGAATACCTTGAAGAATGGATGGTGTTGTCTGGAACTCTTGCCAGATGTTCTGATAAGCAGCGAGATCCATGTTCAGAAACTTGGCCGCAAGATATGCAGCTCCAGCAGCAATATGATGGGGTTTAAATTGAAGCCACAGCGAGCTCCGAAGCCTACAAAACATTTTTCAGCGTCACAGACTAAACAAGACAGTCATCACTACAGCCAGCATCGCTCAACACAAAATTTAGATACATAGATATACATAAATAGTCAAACTAACCATCAGAGGCACCAACTTAGCATATGTTCCCACCATGACAGATCATGTCAGCTATTAAAATGAGCAGTAATATGAACTAGACAATACAATAGTATTTAACATTCATACCAAGAGGAAAACAAATTTATTAACTTTCCTTACCAACTAGAAAAGCAGCAACTCAGGAAGAATACAATTCCAAGAATCTGTGCAGGATTGCTGATAAGAGTACCAAACTATAGCAATTTACATTCATCTAGAGAATTTATCAGACTTCCAGACCCAACTCTGCTGAGGGAGCTCTAAACTCCAGAAATTTATGCAACTAAAATAACAAAGCATGCATGGAGTGTTGTGCTGCATATTGCAAACAATTGAATCATTCAAAGCTAATGCCAATGCCATATCTTCTCAATATTTTGACCTGGAGAGCCTTGCTACCATGCACAATTGCTCGTTGTAATGTTTCAAGTGCAACTTATTCAATACACTATTGAACAAATCCAGTGAATGTCCATGTTGCAGGTGTAATTGTGTAAATTACAATTTTAAAAATCATTACATAATATAAAACATCAAAAAAGAAAAGAAAAGAAAAGAATTTTTGAATTTCCCTTGCCCAAAAAGAAGAAATTGATGCAAAAAGCATACATGGAAGGTACAAGAACATATATGTCCCATGTTCTAAGCACTTTCTATTTTTTTCAACTTAGAGGTCCTTATTGTGATCTGAGGGGAGATTAAAGGGACTTGGGGCTCTCCATCAAAAGAAGGGATACTACTAAAACCAAACCCTAACCAATCTAGTACTATTTTTAAAAAGTACAAATTTGCAGAACAGGGTATGTAGGCTTATGACAAGGTATGTAGGCTGAACAGAACCACTACATCACATCCACCTAAATACCAACTGGCCTGTTTTTAGTGAAACAAGGACTAAAACAGAACGTAACAAAATAGAACGGGAGAAAGAAAATGTTCCTCTTTTCAAATCCTCCTTGTCCTTCAAGATTGAGCACAGGCAATGAAGTACATTACTTTTCTTATGCAATGAAAATATTAATTGTAAATCCAAATGGAGAAGAGAAGGATAAAAAGAAGGGCTGCTTGGCACAACACCAATAGGACTAGTACAAAATTTCCTTAGGTAATGACAAGAGAGCCACTGTCCACAACCCATCCCCACAAACTGACAAAGAAGGATTTTAAGTTGTGCAAACATTTGAGTAATTCAACTCAGATGGAATCAAAGCTCTTTCATATATAATCCCCATTGAAATTTAGCAGGCCCACTGTACCAACATATAACACTAGTACCATTGGTATTGATATTTCATGAAGATGCAGGGATTTAAATAAAGATCAACCTCTCCAGCCAATAACATTTCCAAAGAACTAAGGCTGACATAAAAAAAAATAAAAAAAGACTACTAGATGCCAAATGAATGAAAGCATAGTGAGTCAGCTTCAGTATTACATTTTCCGAGGGGAATGGAGAACATGAGCATAATTATATTCAACAAACAATTTGAGAACTTCTATAGCTAGGAGAGAAATACTACATAAATAAAGGACAAAGTATGATCCTATAATCAAAGTTACTACTAAGACAATTTATTGACTGACAATATATATATAAGTTTTAAGACATCTTCAAATGTTTAACACATGTATCTAACTTAATGGCTTCTCGTGTCAGATTTTCAATAACTTTGGCTGCAACCCAAGTGTTAACATGAAGGAAGAGCTTATCAAAATTATAAATAACAATGGCCACCTATAAAGAGTACACCCTCATTAATGTTAAAACTAACAAATTATTTGCTCTTCACTACAAGGAAGTGAATTCTCACAATTTTGAGTTATCAAACAAACAATAACAAAGACTTGTCCCACTACGTGAGATAAGTTAACAATTTTGAGTTAAAAAATTCAAACTTCTTCTGTTCCAAATAAAAGCCATACAAATTTTAAAGTTTCCATTCCCATTACAGACAATAATGTGAACAAACAAAGGAGAAACTTTTCAACAGGTGATTTGTACAAGATGGCATTAAAAGGACCAAGATATTTGATCTTTTTAGAAAAGAGAGAGAGAGAGATTGTTAGGTTAAAATTAGAATAAATGTCAACATATATTCATATAATTTAACATAAAATTTTGAACAATATCATCCAATCATTTTTCACACATCATTTAAGAATATGATTTTTTAGGTAGTTTCATAGTCAAACTTTTTTCCATATACATCAACAAATCATTGGATAGAGTGTAAACATCTTATGGATTGAAAATAGAACAGAATTACAACCAAATTTAAAACACCTGTGAAAAAAGAATCAAGTTTGATTAAACTAATTCGTTTTGAGTTACCCAAATATTCAATGGGGTTGGAAATGAAGGGGAAACTAAGAAACCTTTCAAAAACCCAAAATTTGGCAATTATATTACTGACCACAAAGGAAACACTTTGAAAGAGAGAATTCTATCAGCAAGTTTATCCTAGTAACTATTTTCTCACCAGATCAATACACACATACTGGCAAGTGGTTTCTTTTCATTTAAGAAAAGGAAAAAAAGCAAAAACATAGTACTAGAGACACTGACTTTTCATGTTGTTAGTGTTAATTGGAACAGTGAGAGCTGTTAGGACATCAGTCAGCTCCTAGGCTTAGTAGTCATGGTAATAAATCTTAAACTATTTTGATTAATGAGTAATTATTAATCAAAATTTGTTTCAGAACAAGATTCTTTCCATGTTTGAATTTAAGACTGGTCGCTTCTCTCTTTTCTTTTTGATGGTTTTTGATTGTCAGGTCATTTTATGATCTTTCAAGTTTCAACTCAAGATATTTAAAATTATAGAGAGCCCATTTAGCTAATGAATCAGCATATACAAGGTGTTTGAGGTTGGAGAGAAAATCTGAGTTGGGGGCTTAGGGCTCTTGTGGCTATCTTGGGTAGCCGAAAGAAAAGTTGAAGGGAAATATTCAAGGTAAAGCAATCCATTAGACATCAGCAGTTCAACTTCAGATGTAAAACAAAACTTTTGATGCACAGCATATCAATCCGCCAGATAAGAATATCATACAAGCCAGCACGTTAATCTTGTGAAGATCCTGCAATTATATGGATGCCAAAACAATCAATATCCCATGACAGTATAGCTACACAGAAGTTGGGCTAAAGCATAATATTGAGAGAATCAACACTATTTTGAACCAAAATTTAGAAGGGGAGACACCAAGGTATCTTCCAAGCCACTAGATCTCCAGACCTCAAGGCATTCTATTGCTTGAGATTTAACAACCAAAGCCCCATGTCCTGTTTCCTACACTAGGTTTTATTATTCCAGTCACTCTCACTTTGTTACATAAGAGCCTAGCAGAACCAACAAATAGGATACCTGAAGAGAACATCAGTCAATAGCTCAGACCAGAGCATAAAGATTTGAGGCAACTAGTTTTGTCCTAAAAGTGAATGGTATAAAAACAAACATCACGATTGAAAACATAAAGTATATGATTGAAAAATACGAAAACTCACCCTTCACTGACCAAGTTTAATGCCAGATTCACCAAAACAGTCTTTGATAGACCCAATTTGTTAAGAACAGAGGTAAGAGGTGCATATGGATGTTGCACGTTTAGTTCAAAATTTAAAGTAGTAAGTATCAGTTGTTCAGCCTCAAGCACCCGTTCACGATACTGTTCAAACCAATCCTGCCAAAAAACTCAAATCAAGTTAATATAAATGAAAGTTTACAATAAAAGTTTGACAAGTATTCAATTTTAAGAGAAATTTTGACTCATTTGAGTTGATATTCTATTCAATAAAAAAATACCTATCTAAAATTTTATGGTGAATCAGCAAACATATGCATGGGTAATTTTATAGGCATACCAGGCATATCCATATGAAAATTAATAGAGGCTATTATTTGGTTTGCATCTCTTCCAATGGTAATAATAAAAAGAGATTTTAGCTAGGTTGATCTATACTCACAACAGGAAATCGGTAGGATATCAAAGAAAAATCTTGTTTGTGTAGAAATTCACTGGATGTTCTCAATACATTGTTCAACGGGCGTGGAGTTTCCTCTGACTTCGCAGCAAGAAAAAGAGCAGCAGTAGCAATCAACTGTAGAAGAGATCAAAATTAATTGAAAAACAGCTTGGCCATAGAGATGCAACTTGAAGGAACAAGTTACAAATAACATTGCACAATTAATTTATATAAAATAAAAAGCACCAGCTGCAACATACAGATCCATAAAAAAAAAATTCTGTACATTTCTAACAGTAGAAAATAACTATGAATGATGTGGTTCTCACTGAAGCATTAAGTAAGAAATGTAAACGTGTATTTAGAGCCAGAGGACAAATAAAAACTCACAAATTTGTCATGGCAAGCATGTGATCGTCGAATAAAGAAACGATGGCACAGAACCATAGCTGTCCCGATGGTGGTTTGAGGCCTGCAAAATGAACATCACAAGATTTTATGCTAGTGCCAAATAGTATTAGGAAGTGAATTAAATCCACAAACCAAGATCGCATACTAACATCACTAGGAGTGTTCTTTTTTAAATATATATTTGAAGTTTAGGGTTTGAGAGGTGAGAGCTTGTAGTTATTGTGAGAAATGATAACATTTAACCATAACGAATAGATTAAATTAACGATTCAGATTGCGTTTTCAGTTGCATATCTCGTGTGATCTTTTAGAAACTTGTGAATTTTTAATTAAGAAGAAAAAAAACCATGTGACAAAGTTCTCATTTCTCACAGTAGCTACGAGTTTTCATCTGATAGGCTCCTTAAGTGTGTGTGTGTGTATGACCAATAATATGAATCTTACAGCTCAAGACGCATTCCAAGATTCTGAAGGAAGGCACAATAGGAGTAGCGCAAGTGTGTCTCATGATGTACATCAATACCATCTTTTCTTGATGGAGAGTGTCTATCAATCTCCTCCCTTGACATGAAAACAGGTTTATCATCTTCAAAAATAGAGCAGTCGAGCTTACAGCTAGTTGAAGTAGAGGCATCACCATCAGATCTTGAAGGAGGAGCTAGAAAATTACATGATGAAGGGTTATTGTCATGGATGGTGGGTGGAACATAGTATTTCTGACTTTCTTGCCAAACAGGGGCAGGATATTTTCTCCTTTTCAAAGATGACGCAACAGCATCATATCTAACATAATTAGCATGATCAGCCATGTAAAAATTAAAGGTGCAACCATGGTCCCCAAAATTTGTCCGGTTGTCATTGTAAATGTTAAAATTCCTGTTATAATAATTGTTCCTGCTTCTTTTCCTATTGTTGTTGCCAAAGTTGTTTCCATCACAGGTGGACCAGTGACCACTATGTAAATTACGATCTTCTGCTTGAAAATTCCGTGCAAAAGACATAACTCCTGCAAAATCAAATCATATGAACCAAAAAGAAAAAAGGGCATACCATTACATGCAGTCATAATCTCACCAATAAGGTTAATGAAACAAACAACAAATCATTCGATAATTTTCCATCCGAATATTGTTTATTTGTTGCAATAAACCGATACAACAATAAAATTCCAATCTGATCACAGGCACACCAACAACTAATGTTCAATTGTAAGAAAAAGAAGAAGAAACAACATAAAAATAACAAACTCCAATCATAACAACCCCAATTAATTTTTGTAACTTAGTACTGTTTGATATCAATCAATAAATCATCCACCTGAGGATTTTTTGTATTCACAAAACAGATAATGGTGAGATAATCTTGAAAATTGGGACATACAAAGATCAGGAACGTAAATTCCCGTTAATCTCCAGAAAATAACCGCAAGAGACATACAAATTACGTATGATTTACAACATCTGATGCCACAGAGAACGAAAAATGCATAATTGGAATGTGGAGATTTCATCAAGCAAATCATGTCGAAATTGAAAGAAAGTGATCATGTGAAAAGAAGAGAATTGGGAGGCACACCTGAGGAAGAAGCGAAGCCGATCTGGTGGAATGAGGATTGGAAGGAGAAAGAGGAATTAGGGTTTTGAAAAGAAGGGATGAGGGGGTAGCTAGCTTGTGTTTGAAGCTCAAAAAGCAAGGAATGAAGGATTATCTAAAACGGCATGCATCATCCACATTTTAAATGTTGGGTCAATAGGGTTGGTAATGGTAACCCAGTCCATTCCACTTTTTTTTTTTCTTTACTCTTGGTCTTGGATGCTTGCCAATATTTTTTTGTGTATTTTCTATTAATTTCAAAAGAGACCAAGATGCTTCCCAATATTTTTTGTATATTACTATTTAACTTCACAAGAGAATGCAATTCAGTCCCAAGACACATTTGAATTATTATGGATTAAAATAGGACATGTCCTTTCAAGACTTTCAAGTTTCAACCTTAAATGTATTGATATTTAATTTAACTAATATCATGTTTAGTATCACTCATTATATGTATAAAATTATATAAAAATAAAAATAATCATCAATGAGTATAATATATAAAATATAATATTTTTAAATATATATTAATAATTTAATTAAAGTGGGAGGATATATTTGTCTATCATCATTATAATATAAGTCCGTTACTATGTATATTTAAAACAAAAATATAAAAAAATTTAATAATTTAGGTAAGTCTTTTAGTCACTAAAATTAGATACAAAGAATGTAGGAGAGAATATTGTTGCCTAAGAGTGGGATAATACAATAAAGAGAAAATTATGTACACTTCATTTGTTACGAACGAAATAGTGAAAAAATAGTAAATAGGGAGACGAAATAGCAAAAAGAGAAAAATTCTTAATCGTTTGGTTGTCAACGAAAAAATTAAAAAAAAAAAAAAAAAAAAAAACAAATGAAATCTACGCCTTTTGATTTCTTCGCAAATAAATAAATAATACGCGCTTAGAACATAAACATATTCAAATATTCAAATAAAACATTAGTCACATTCAAAAAAATCACTATTCACGTGAAAGAGTTTTTACTGATTTGAATAAATAAAATTTTTATTCAAATACGTTTTCTTTTGAAAACATAAACTTTCGACTTTTATTTGAATAAAATTATGATTATTTGAATAATAGTTTAAAATTTTATTTATTTAATTTAATTTAAACTTATTATTAATTAATTTTTAATTATTTATTTAGTTATATAATTTTTTATTTAAATGATTAAAAAATTTAATAATAATAATTAATTTTTAAAATATTTTTTTATTTCTTTTTACTGTGTTATTTATTTATTCTCTTTTTTTTGTACTTTATTCTCACTTATTTCTTTTTATCTTATTAAACATGCATAATATTATATAATATTATTTATTATCTATTTTTTACTTATTGTTTAATCAAACAATCAAATTTCTACTCTATTTTTTATATCTATTTTTACTCTTATATTTCTTTTTTATTTCACTTTATTCTATTTTTCACTTATTTTTCTTCTTTATTAAACACACAAATGGAGAAAATAAAAGAAAAAATAGAAAGAAAAAAAAATGATGTGGATCCACGTGTTTTTACTTTCAACTCGGGATAATATCAAAGAATATGCAGCACAAGGATTATTAAAAATTTATTATACAATACAACGTATTTAATGATACCATTGGTCAGCGCTAATGTAAATATTTAAAAACATATCACAGAAAGGGACTACACAAAAAATACCTAATCTATGAAAGTACGCCCAAAAGAACTTGCGTGTTCAATGTTAACAAGATGATCCAAACATTTATTTGCTTCTATATGAAGATATGCACCATTAACATTAACCAATGTTTGTCTTCATGGACAATAAACTAACTTTCATCCTTCAAACTACAAATCTTCTCTCAAATGATCAAAATGTCGATTTATGGTATTTATTGGATTTTCTCATGTAAAGTTTATGCATACAAAGTTCGTCTAAGCATGAAATAAATAAAGTCTTTGTTTTAGACTTTCTTTAAAAGAAAAGTTTTTATATTAATATTTATATAATTTCTTCAAGAGCTATTTTTTATATTTTTTTAAATTCATTCTAAAAAAATTATTTATAAAAGATATATAAATTAATTATTTTTTTAAAACTCATCTTTAAAATATTTTTTAATTAAATTATTATTATTATTTTTAAAAGAGGAGGGTTCAAACGACACCGATGTAACTTTTATTAAGTGTTACACCGCTCAATAACTTTTATATTAAATACAAATTTTGTAAATTCAATTGAGTGGTGTAACACTTAATAAAAGTTACACCAGTGTCGTTTGAACCCTCCTCTTTTTAAAAATATCATTTTAAAATTTAAAATCTAATAATATGTTGAAACAACCATATGTATTATGTTTCATCAAATAAAGTAATTAACTATTGACCTAAAAATAAATGTCTCATTAAATAACTTACAAATTAAACCATTCATAATTTAATTTCATCTTATAAAATGAAGTATTATAAACATTATTTAAAAGCTTAACTCTCTATTTTTAAGGTTTGAAGACTAAATAAAAAATATATATATTTTACATATCAAAGTTGTAATGTTTCTTTTTCTACCTCTTTTAATATTACCCATTAAATTAATTGATCTTCTTGGTATAAGGTTGTTACAATTCTTATTATTCATCAAATAAAACATGGTAACCATGATTTGAGATGTCAAAATGAATTCCAAATTATGAATTGACTGGACTCATTACAAGTTGAGTCAAGTAAAAAATAAAAAAGTGTATAATTTTGTTATTAAATTCTAATTCGGTTCACTTAGCCTATAAATTAAATATGTTTAAGTCTTAGTGGGTTGAATTTGTCTGTTTAACTTGCTAAAATATTTTTTTTTTAAATTACAAAAAATAATAAAATAGATTAGATTAACCTATTTAAAGCATCAATTCCAAGTGAACCAATCCAAATTAAATTTACTTTAACACTTTTAATCATGATAGGATTTTGTTGTTACCATACTAACAATTGGTTCATAATTTCTACAAAACTAAACAACCACATTGGCATTGAAGTGATGCATAATTTATAGAAATAATTATAATTGCAATCAATTATAAAGAAGTTCAAACTCCTTTTCTCTATAATCAGGATTGGTCCTGAGTTTTTTTAAGATATTAGACAAATAAAAAATATAATGTTCTCAATTATTTAATTATTGTCTTTGTACTTTTTTGTTACTAAAATATTATGATATCAAAAAGTATTTTAGGACTATTTACAATATACAACTCATTTAATACAATTTTTTTTTTTTGTATTTCATATTGTAAATCACTTCTAAGATTATTTCATGTTATTAGACCGTAAATGTCTAATGAACTATACTAATTATGTTGTCTAACATAGATATGTTAATTCCTCTCATTAATGTATTCAATTTCATCACAATATTTATCTTCAATTTTACTATTTTTTAATAAAATATCATGATCTTAATCATTCTTATTTAGTTATTCATTCTAAAAAAAATTAGCTTTGTAGTATAGATTATCTAGATTTACTTCATTTTGAATAAAATTTGTAGGATGTTTATCAAAAAAATTATCAAAACAGCCTTTTAAGATTATATCATTTTCAATTTGTTTACTTCCTTTTCATTTTAGAAGACTAAAAGATTATTTTTTGTGCAACAATTTTAAATATAAACAATTAAACAAGTATAAATAAAAAAAATTATAATTCAGATCCAAATTATAGATATTTAATGAGTAAATAACAATAACATGAAACAATATCACCTAATTACTTATTTTAAACAGTCACATTAAACTTTCAATTTATTGTAATGAAAAAAAATATTTAACATTGGTGAAATATCGCCAAAAAACTTACAATGACTAACAAATAGATTTTTTTAAAATTTGATTTAAAATTTTAGTAAAACATAAGAAATCACGATTAAAAAAATGAAAAGAAATATATATATATATAT